CTTCAAACAATCATATGAACAATTACCTTCCATAAAACATGCTCTAATTCTATCAATAAACATAAGCATTTGCTGCTATCAATTCCTCGTGTATTTCATTGGTGTCCGCAGTTCGGGTTGGAGCCAATTCAGTTTGAGCAGTACAGTACGGATTCTCGTGTTCCTACATTCACTACTATTGCGATTACTGCATTATTGCAGAGGGGCTGTGCATCTGAAGGTCTCTTTGGGTCGTATTTCAAGTGGCTCTTTGAAGTGGGGTACTATAGGATAAACTTTTATGGCTATAAATGTGGTGTTTTTCTCAACATCGTTTGGTTTGAAAATAAACTCCTTCGCCGAGAGGTCACTGTGGAATTGGAAAAGAAGAGGACAGGAGTACCTTTGGGATCCTTTCTGGAGTTGGATACAGTTGCAGGGGTATCGGTTCCTATTTGAAGCTTTCAAGATTACGTCTTCGATGTGAGCTAGGGAAACTTTTTCTGGTCCAATGAATACAACTGCGTTTTTCGGGTTAGAAAAACGCTTAAACACTTGTGAGCAACAGTCCTGGTCGAGCGAGGGTGCTCACAGATTGGGTCGAAGGGTCCAGGAGGAAAACCAGTGGAGCTAATGTCGAGCTGACTAGTTCTAGGAACTCCAGCCTACTGTTGAGGTTTGCGAAGGCGCTATCAATTTTGAGGTTACTTTAACAGCATTACTGAGCATATCAACTAAGGGGATGGAGGAATTGTTGAGGGGATTTGAAAACAGACTAGAACTGGGCACTCGTCTGCTAGCTCGGGTCTTTGGGCGATCTACAGTATGTCGAGACATGCTATTAGGGCAAGAAATGAGAGCATTTTCTGCAAGATTATGATCGCTATGATCGTCCACTCATTGCTAGACCTCGTCAGAACAGGTGATAGTCACCTCACGGGCACAATCCAACAGTACTGCCCTTTGGGCAAGAGTTGTCATCTCGTGTTATCCTTCGATATCATAGTCCGCTGGCCCAGATGCGTTACACCGTGTCTTAGGGAGGTTCGTTCTTTTAAAAGGACAAACTTCAACAACCTGAGGCATTTCCTACAAATCCATACCCCGCAAACCAACCGGATAAGTAACGTAAACATCTTAAGCAGCACAATGGAGCGGTGTATCCGTGCAGCGGACTATCTGCTGGTGCCCCGCGTCCGTAAATCTTTATCAGACAGACACCCCTTGCCGCGTGCTATCCATTATCTCTTAAAAGAACGTTCGCGGTCCTTTGCTCGGTACAAATTGACGGGTATGATGGAAGATGCCAATTACTTCATCCGCATTCTCAATTTGTGCAAAGCAAGAATCCGCGAGTTCCAGAGAAACCAACAGAACGGCATTTTAGCCAGGGCGCGGGTAAACCGGTCAGTCCTGTACAAATTTATGGAACACACATACGCCCACTGTTAGAATATGGCAGTCAAATTGCACATTCTGGTCCCATTCGTGACCGCGACTCACCAGAGCTTGTGCACCGAAGGGGCACGAAACTAGTACATGGCTTGTCAGAACTCCCTTATCCTACCCGACTACAAACGCCAAATCTATACCCTCTAGATATACGACGTATCAGAGGGGATCTTTTCCTTCTATATGACCCCTTCATGTCAGGCCAATTTGACCGTTTCTTCACACGCTCTAGCCTGGAACACCTAAGGGGACACCCAAGAAAACTCTTCAAACACCGGCCCAGAACCTTCATCCGCTCCAACTTCTTCACGTACAGGGTCATCTGAGAATGGAACCAACTTCCACTAGAGATTGTGAATTCCTCCTCCAAAAGGGTCTTCAAAACCCTGTTAGACTCACACCTAGGGCTTACCATCCCCTGATCTATTTGACCTCCATCTGCTACAGGAAGTCCCCACATTATCCCGCTTATCCCTGTTACTACTCCTCTCACATCGTCGCTCTCCTCTAGATTTTTTCCCCCATGCATGCACCGTTAACCCAGCGGCACCATATTGGAGCCAGCTCCCATTCCCGTCAACATCCCTTTCAACTCGTGCACCAAACTGCCGAAAAGAAGACAAATCTGGAACCGGGAATTTTGGGCGCAAGCCTCGAACCCGAGAACTACTTGAAGACTTCAAGACTTCTACCTTGCCGATGTACAATCCCACGAGATTCACGGATGGAACAGATCTCACAAAAACACTTAGACGTCGTGCTCATGACTACTGAGGAAATTAACTTGTTTTAATTTCCACAATAACTATGTACATTTCACGAAGCCCGTGAGGCATGTCCGAAGCATGATCATGTTATAATTATTATAATATTGGTATATTCCTCGGATTACGACAGAAATGAATGTGGTGCACGGTCATGGTTGGCAAGACACAATAACAATGGTCCCATATAATACAGAAAAACATCTGAAACCGTGGTCTCGATGTTTCTGAAAATTGAGTATAATGTAAAATTGTTGAGTGGAAATAAATTGTTGTTTTAATGCTCCACTTCACGCTGTAGCGCAATCCACTTTCAACTTTAAGGTCACAAGTGAACTCGGAGTAATACATTTTCGTAGAATGACAACATAATCGCAGATATGTATAGGGATGAGTGAAGATGCAAAAATATGAAAAGTTGTCATTATAGTACAACAAATTGAGGGAGGAAAACGCTAATGGTCAGGTAGAAGTGATCCCATATGCCCGCATATTAAGTGTTCACGATCCACGTGCGGCTATCCCTCCTGCTACCTATTGATTATGAACGTGCCAGCAGCTGCATCTACTAAGAAGCCAAAGACTACCAAGNAGCCCAAGGATTCTGCATCGCACCCCTTCAGTTATCGACGTGGTGAAGGCGGCCATCGTCTCGGCCAACTATCGTAAGGGACCTTCGACGTTCCCTGTATTCAATGTAATTTCATACGATAAAAGAAATAATAATGCAATATTACATGTACTGTTTATTTGCTACATAGATTTCCAAATAATTGTAGCCAAAAGATGTGTCATTGTTCTTGTTTGCATTGCTTTTCATTCCTTACTTTAATAATTATTCCGTTTGTTTTGTAACATTATAATTCCCTTTTTAGTCTTTCTTGGCATTTTCAGATGTAAATGACCGAGGAAGATTAAGTTGCCTTTTGGAATCCCTTTGTACAAATACAACTATAATATAGTTGTATCTATGAAAAAGCAGGTGACATCGGAGTACAATAATCGTAGGAAATCAAATATCAAATTGGCAATAAGGGCTAACATGCTTACGTTTGTGCCTTACGTTTGTGAGATGGAATGTTAACCGGTCTGAAATACAAAAAGTAATTGGAAATTTGATGTTAACTTACGGCGTATTCTCATGTATGACATTCTGAAAGCTGGTACTAAACGCAGTTTGTTAATCGTTAAATGTACTGCTTACTGTTTAATGTCGAAACACTATACACTTATGGGTGTGGAGCGAGGTCTGCGAACATACCTGACAAATTGCTGAGACCGCTTATGTCTTTCAGCGGTTTTTGCTGTGACACGTAATCAGACATGTCATCGATTAGTGGTGGAGGTGTGGAGGCATCAAGATCGGTGGGCTATCTTTTTGTGGCAGCCTCTGAACTTGTCGCGGAGTACACAACCGGATTTCTAATAGTTACATAGTTACATAAAAACCAACAGCACTTACGGTTTTCGTTTCTCATGCCGATCCCTGGGAACTGTGGCATCAGATGACAAGATATTTGTGTGCTGAAGTAGGTAGTTGGAAACGGCCTTAGCCTCCTCGAAGTTATCTAAAATTTCAAATTAAAATCAAATTTACTAACCGACTACTTTATGCACTGTTACTTTGTGAATTTTGCATCGGGGTGGTGGTGCTAAACCCTGTTTTACGATACGTTTTGATGTTGAACATACCGTGTGTGGGCCAATTAGCTCTATCAGGGCCGACCATCCACGAGGCAGGAACTACTGCCCGCGTATTCTCCGAGACGAACTCAACAAGGTAAAACATCTGCCAGTATAAGAACGATCATAAGTATGTTGATATCTTACGGCCAAGAGCGCCAACTCTGAATAATTGGTTAGAATACATACGCGTTCTCATAAGGTATCAACATAACTTTACATTATATCTTTTCAATCTGATAGTATTTGATTGACTCGCTTAAAGAGTCACACAAGTATATACCCGAATGTGAGGATGGAAGCGGAAAATCGAAGAATTTTGATGCCGACACAAAAGTTTGGACACCCACTAACTCATTCTCTAAAGAAACCACCAACCTTGGCTTACAACCAATGAGTGCGTGGTTGTCAGGGTGCTCCGTTCCGTAAACCGTTCCATCAAACGCAATGCAATGTTTTTTCAAACATGGACGTCGAATAGCGNCGAATAGCGTTAGACGTGGTGTCATCCCAGCAATTTGTTTGTTCCGTAGCAGCTCTTTGATCAGCACGTTCGATTGTTCGACGGAAGATCTGTTCTGCCAGCATAGATTTAGATGAAACACACTGGTGTATTGTCTGCATGAAACCTTCATATGGATATGTTGAAAAGTTATCCAATACGTCGTGTCGTCGTACATCGTAGCACAGATGGGTCCACATATGCACGTTATACACCCCCTCTGCCTCTCCGTATAGATGCATAAAATCGGCTACCACCCCTGGCGCTCGCTTCTGGAAGTAGTCTAAATAATGTTCAGCGAACTTGGTGATACAAAGGATGTACGTGTATACTGAAAAGTCTAGGAAGTTTTTGTAGTTATCATGTGGCAAAACTTTTCGTAAAACCACAGGTCCGAGGTACAGAAGAAACTGTCGATATTTCGTGGCCTTCAAGAACTCAATATCACCCAAACCACGGCATTTTCGGGGAGACTCACATATCAGTGATTGACATGCTAACTATAAGTGTTCTTCCAAGTATTTCCAATGGGATACACTTATGGTTGGACGTTTGTCTCCACCAGGTTTTCGCTACAAACTGAGCAGCCTTTTCATAATTCCCAGGCACACCGAATGAATTTAGTCCGTTGGGAACGTGCCGACCATATCAATGGGAATCTGCTCAAATGAAGACAATCCGATGTGACGTTCATCTTGCAAGCGCAGAAGGAAATCGTAGTCTGTCTTTAGTTTACCTCCACGAGCTTTAAACACCTTTCGACGGGAACAACTGCTGCCCTTCTGAGTGCAAAATGGGCAACAAAAATAGCCCGTGTGTGGTTTAATCTGTTTCACCAATACCTTAGTAGAAGCATCAGCAATAACACTGTCTAGCTGCACACTATGCTTGCGACCGTATTCCACATCCCAGAAACCGTCTTCCATCAACAGCCGAAGGTCTTCACTTGATGGAGTTAAAAACGTCCGAACATCAGTCTGGTTTGACATCTCACAGTACAAACCAACAATGAATATCTTAGATTTCGGGTACAACAGACGACCCAAAATTGGCCAAGCTTGTTGTGATGAGCCTCGGAACAACGATAAACCATCAATATGCAATTGTAGCCGATAAAGACTATCACTTCGGCCCTCGCATATGCGCCTCAGGCACTCTTACAGTCCGAAATGTATATGTGTACCATCACCCACACTTAATTTGGTATGCACCTGAGTGTGGACAACAGTGTACGCTGATCGGAGGGCAGTTGCGGAAGAATATCTCGAAACTCTTGTAACATCAGTTTGACTGCCATCAGAGAGAGCCGAGCTTTTAATACAAATCTACGCGAAACTAGAAATGCAGTCGGTTTATCTGATAAACTGGAGTGATTAATGTTTAGCATTAACTATTAGCTACCAGATGGCTTAGTTTGTGGCGACGATGATAAACTATCATCGGCATGAATCTTTTATTCTGCAAACAAATAGGAAATAAAAATAGAAAATATAATTACTGTGAGCCTCACGCATCAGTTGCAACTGTTGCTCCAGTTCATCGAGATGTTTACGGTGTGTTTCGGAACAATCAATAAAATCTTCCATATGGGATTCAGGAGTGGACCTTTGGACTAATGAAATCGATTAGAGTCGGAATGTGTCTTACGTCTCCACCGAGGAATTTGTTGATCTGCGTGAAACATTTACCTCAGATCCCAAATTGGCCTGATCAAAATGTACCCCAGTGTGGATGCAACTGTCGTCTGAAGGTTCATCTGGGACAGGAATTATGTCAACCGCATAAATATTCAACACTACATTGACGTATAACGCCAACGTTTTGTTTCTGCAACAGTACTCGTGAAATTGAGTTACGTGCTAGCGACAACGGCTGTACGATTCGTTCAATTTCCTCATGCATACGTCTCCACTTAGCAGTACGTGACACACCCGGTACCTTGCTTGACTGACGTTTCATTTATTATATAAGGATGCCATCATGCTATTAATTAAATATATCCTTAAATATAATAAACCTATACATAAGTATATATACATATACTTCAAACAGATAGCCCATAACAGTGATTTCAGATAACACATCCCGAGAGAGGCTCACAACAGCGAAACAATATGGCGTATTCTGGTCACAAGGTCAGTTCATTTAAACCAATTAAAATCAAACTTGGTAAAATCCAATTATCAAGGGTGTAAATGATAAGAAGTAAAATACTTAAAAGTCAATAGGATAATTTAGTACAGTTTTGTGGGCCAAAAACACTGCTGATGCAAAATATAACACACTAAATAAGTCAATTTCTATGAAATGAAAAACCGGATATTTATGGCAAAAGGTTGATTATATCTTGAACTTTTTTTTATAAAATGGACTATTTTTTTAATTTTTATAAGTCATTTGCATAATCAGTTTGAAATTCTATACAGTAATTATCGAGATCCCCCCCGTGACGAAACGGTGACTCTCGAGTGTACCCCTGTGCTGACTGGGATAATAAAAGCTGGTTTTCATTTTGTCTTTACTTCTTACTTTTTTTTCTCCATGGGTGTTGCTTGGCGAATAGAGACGCTAAATATTGTTACTATGGAAAGCGGACTTGGAGCTTTAGGTTCATCTGCGTGACAATGGAAACCTTAGGGTATAATGATGAGGTATTTCTATAATAATTAGGCCATTAAAGCTACAAGAACGTGTGGAGCAATGAATAGTGGGAAAAGGCCGGATTAGACGGCTCGATTCGAGCCCTTGCATATTTGACGTCGATCGGTCTCTGGGTTTTAAAGGGCTAGGAATCCGAAATAGTAGGCCAACGTAGTTCACTGAGAGAAGGCTAGTGGTTTTTCCGTGAAAATAAGATTGGGAAGGTACTACGATTAGCTGCCAAATTTTTTTTCGACAGTCACTGACAGTTACCAATTTGTTTCGATGGGTACTAATCGGTGACTTTTAGAGAAGGGGGACTTGCCATATCGAGATGCACAATAACGATCCGATCTCCAAATAGCCCGTGTTTCTCGATCACCCAGTATGAATCAGGAAGAACCACTGGTTAGTCGAGGGAAAATATATTGTTCCCTGGCAGCACCGGAGTTTAGCCTGATTGTGCTCGTGAGTATCTGAAAGCGGAAATGCTTAGCAAGCGAAAGGGGTAGCTCTGAACTCACGCACCGTTTAAAGTGAGGAGTACTTCATCGGAGGTGGTAGAGACTTAAACAAAGATAAAAGACTTAGCTGAAGGAGTGGTCTCAGGATATCAAAGATCCTGGCGGATTCTACGCTACAAAGGAGAAGGATGCACGAGCAAATGCTCCAAATAACCAATGCCTGCAATCATGTGAAAGCATACATGTGGAACAGGCAGACCAAAGATGGTGACACTCTCGAGCATGTTACACTGTTGGTCTCAAGCCACTACAGACTTCCGCGTGACGAAACGGTGCGTTTTCGGTGACTAAACGATGAAGCTCGTGCTGACTGTGTCTCTACCCAAGATCAAGAAATACATCGTCGCCAACTACAAGATCCATGTCGAGAAGCTCGGACCCGATGTCCGTCGTGGAGTCGTTCACGCAGTCGAGAAGGTTGTCCTGGTTCGCGTAGGCAACAAGGACAAAGCTGCGTCTGGGTGCTTCAATTTGGGCAAGAAGGCGGCTGAGCACAAGCCTAAGGCCGTGAAAAAGCCCAAAGTACCGAAGGTTAAGAAGGCTGCAACCCCAAAGAAGCCGAAAGTGGACTGGATTGAATACACCGGATTCTCTTGGGGGTAAAAAGTATGGCAACTGTCAGCTGGGGAGACATACTAGTTTATATATATCAATTTTGCATACTATAGAAAAAGTAAATGCTTTATATGCTAATTTTCGGGTTCATCAAACTAACGGCTATGGAAAACATTTCGTGAAAGGCACCAGGCATGACATGAGCCTCAGAATCAAGATACTGAAAGCTCCATGGCGGAAATCTGGTTTAAAAAGATGCATCGAGTACGAGTTATCTGAGGGGCATATTCGAATCTACTATCGCAAACAATGAAACATAGAAGGCAGGAAAACTATAGTTTTCATTCAAAATGGCTGGAATTCTAGTCATAATCATATTATCACTAGGGGAATGAAAGAAGAAAATTAGGACAGGAATCAGCTTTGAACCCGACCACCCCACGGTTGGGTAAGCTTAGGCATACTTGTGCAGTTTGCACAAACACCTCCAATGCTTGCACATTCGGGGTGTTGCGGTGACGCCCTTCATAATGGCTGTGATGAGCGGCTACGAGCACCAGTACTCCCTCTCCGATCCGTCTATCCTGGCGATCCGCTCTGTTGGGGGTGCAGTTAGGAGGGCTCAGGTTACTAATTTCGTCACCAGGTTTCAGCCATGATTCTGTGACTACTATCACGTCATCCTCTCTTACCCTTGCTCTTAGTTCTGGCCATTTGTTTCCAATACTTATAGCATTTATGCACCACACTCCTCGTTTCGACTCTTCCCTTTTTCCCCGGCACCTCGTGGGATTAGTTGGTTGCTGGGGCCTACGGCCCAAGCGAGCCATCCGCTTTTTGGGACCTTGTTGTTGCTTTCCCTATTATTTCCCTGCTATTCTCCCGTTAAGCCGTTCGGTGAAATGATTAAGCTGAGTCTGCCATAGATGATGCTACATTGCCCTGTCTGATCCCCCGGTGTCGTTTCGGGGCTCCATTACAAAGCA